GGAGGAGGAGGAGGAGGAGGAGGAGGAGGAGGAGGGGCAGGCCGCCTGTTTTTTTTGTTTTATTTCGGCGCGGGCACGGAGTGCTGTGCCTACGGCGTCCTGCCAGTGCGAGCGGCCTCGAGGCAGAACAAGACGCCGACGTGGGCCCGCGACGACCAGTTCCGGCAGCTGCCGGTGCGGAAGCGAGAAGTGCAGGTGCGAGCGATGAGAAGGGCAGGTCGCCCTCTCTCCTCATTCCCCCCCCCCACCTCGGGCAGGCGTCGCAGGCTGCGGTAATATGAAGGCGCCCTGCCGCAGGCAGCATCTGTACCACAATCCTCCTCCTCACCATCGCCCTCATCAATCTCATCACCTTCATCATCGTCACCACCGTTGTCATCGTCATGAGCGTCCGCATCATCACCATCACCGCAACGACCATCATCACCATCATCATTGCCATCCCCACCATGATCGTCATCGTCAGCGTCAGCATCGTCACCACCACCACCACGACCACCATCATCATCATCATCATCATCATCATCATCATCATCATCATCATCATCATCAGCATCATCATCATCATCATCCTACTCATCGTCATCGTCGTCATCATCAGCAGCAGCATCATCGTCGTCATCATCATCACCACCACCACCATCGTCATCATCATCATCATCATCAGCAGCAGAAGCAGCAGGATCATCATCCTCATCCTCATCCTCATCATCATCAACATCATCGTCAGCATCATCATGCCAGGATCGTTCGGCTCAGGCTCTGCCCGCGCTTCAGACTCCGCCCTCAGGGTGGATCGGGACGCCCCTCTCGTCGCCGTCCGTCGCCTATTGGGGATTAACTTGGAGCCATCGTGGAGCAACAGTTTCACGGATTGAGGACGGTTCATTTTTAAAGATGTGGCCCCTCGCCTTAGCGTCTCGCAGACTCGCTGCAAACATTGGCAAACACTTACCTGGCTCTCGTGCTTAACGTACAGGAGACGGCGTGTTGGAACGACTCGGGACTGCTAGGTCGCAACAGTTACGTTGATCCGCTGAATTGAAGTCCCAAGATCGGCGCGCTGGCACGAGTCAGGATCGCCGAGGCACAACAATCAGATTGACTCGTGGCGCTGAAGTCTGAGAACCGTGCTTTGGTACGTACGCTGCTGGATGTTCACACGGCTGTCCCCCAACGGGGCACGTCCCTCAATGGAGATGAACCCCATGTGGGTGTCATGAAGATAGGGGGAAAACAAACCTACCTCGCTTTTGACCACCCTCGCTTTCAAGAGATACCAAACGATAACAAATTTCAGCCTGTACTGGTCAGGCCGCTTGACGAGGAGGCGCGTGGTATGGCTTGTTTTTGCCTGGAAGCGAAAGCGGGGTAGGCAATTCACGCTTTGAGAAGAAGGAGCTTGGAGGGAGGGTGTATCCCAACATCGTTGAAGAGTCTTGGGTTTACACTGGAGCCATCATCCTCCCCCTAGCCGTGCAACCCGCAATGTGGTTCCGTCTTGGCGTTGCTTCGGGGGCATCTTGGGAGCATCTCTGGGTCATGTTGGGGTCATCGAGTCGTGTTCTGATATTGCTTCGGCCACTTGGGACATGCCTGGGGTCCATCGCAAGGTCATTGGGACATCTCGAGGTCACCCAACGCACATCACCCAAACCCAATCCAACTGCGCCGAGAGCCTCCGAACACCGACGAGCACTTCCACTTCTCCTCCCCCTCCCTCTCCTCCTCCCCTCCTCTAACGTCGTCGTCGGCGACGACGGCAGCGGCGACGCCGACGCCGATGCCGACGCCGCCGCCACCGACGACGACGACGCCGATGCCGACGCCGCCGACGCTGACGACGACGACTACGACGACGACGACGACGACGACGACGACGACGACAACGTCGACGACGACGACGACGACGACGACGACGACGACGACGACGACAACGTCACCGGTGGTGATGACGGCAGCGTGGACGACGACGACGACGCGGGCAGGCGACGATGACGGCGACGGGGGCGCGGGCCCAGCCCTTGGGCTGCCCCCCCCATGGCTCCATGAGCGGGAAGACGCCGGGCCTGCGGCGACAGGGAAGGAGGCATGGGGGAGGACGGAGGGTGCGGAGTATGCCGGAGGGAGGGAGGAAGCAAGGGAGGAGAAGGCAGGGGGAAGAGAGGAGGAGGAGGAGGAGGAGGAGGAGGAGGAGGAGGAGGAGGAGGAGGAGTAGAGTGGTAATCTTGATCATTAGGAGTGATGGAGGCGGAGGAAGCTGAGGAGGCAGGGGGAGGAGGAGGAAAAAGTCAGTGAGGAGGAAGAGGAGGAGGCAAGGATGAGGAGGAGGAGGAGGAGGAGGAGGAGGAGGAGGAGGAGGGGGAACAGGAGGAGGAGGAGGAGGAGGAGGAGGAGGAGGAGGCAGGGGGCAGGGGCCAGGGGACCCAGACCTCCGCCGTCGCGCTTCTCATCGCACACGTGGATCCTATTGTAGGGCTGGAGGCCTCACGGCCCCCCGCGGGCCCAGGACAGCAGAGGGGCCCCCTCGGACTCGCGGCGGAGGTGGGCGCGGGGAGGAGGAGGCGAGGAAGCGAGGGTGCGGAGCATGCCTGTGGGAGCGGGGCAGTGCAGAGGCAGGGGGGGCAGGGAGGCAGAGAGGCAGGGGAGGGCATGGCCCCGAGGCGCCGCGGCCACCGCCTGCGCTCTGGTGGGTGCGCCACTGTGGCTGTCGGTGCGGGTTCTGCTCCGGGGTCGGGGCCTGACCTCTTCGCTCTCCGGGGAGAGGGGCTGAAGGGGGGAGGCGGGAGAGAGATGGTGGAAGCGAGGGGGGGAGGGCGCGGCGCGCGAAGAGGGTGGCAAGATGGGGTGGAAGCGTGGAAGCGAGAAGATGGTGGAAAGAGGGCACGGCGCGCCTGTGTCTGAACACGCCCAGCAGCGCCTCGCGGATGGCCGCCTCCCAGGGCGTGAACTCGTCCGCGGGGAGCTCTGCAAAAAACGCCTCCCTGCGATAGGCCATGGCCGTCCCGCCCCTCCTCCGCCGCCGTACGCCGCGCCCCGCGGAGGCCGCCCCGAGGGTGCCGGAGCAGACGGGGTCGCGGGAGGAGCGCACCGCATCGCCGACACACCCGCGAGGCCCGGATGGAGAGAATCGGGCTGCGGATCGAGCCGCATCGCCGATGCATCGGCAGTGCGGCGCGGTCCTCCGACCGGAGCTGCTCTGGCCCCAAGCTGGGCGGCCCGCATCCTCGGGGGCCCCCGCCAACGGCCGCCGGTCCTGCAGAGGCGAGCAGCTGTCCAGATCCACCTCCCTCCCTCCCTCCCTCCCTCCCTCCCCTGATCACCCCCCCCCTCCCTCCCTCCCTTCCTCCCTACCTCCCTCCCTCCCTCCCTCCCCTGATCACCCCCCCCCTCTTCTTCCCAGAACCCCGTCGCAGGAGGAGCCAAAGACCACCCCTCTGGCAAATTCCCGCCACCGGGCGCCCCTGCCTACGAGACCTATGTTGCTTCACATCAGCAATTTGGCCCCTGCTGACTTTTTTCAAAATAATATATTGGGATGAAACGCTGCCGCTGGATATATCGAACACAGTTGATCACAACACAAACGCTCCTGCGATCCCCGCCAAAATGGCAAGAAATGGTAAGCTCAGATCCGCATGGCTACATTGCAACCGAACCGCTTGACCACCATCTCGACCGAACTGGCGGAATTCGACCACGCGTCCGACAAAATACGTTCGACGAGGGATGCGCTGCACAATGCCCCGGCCACGGGCAGCGCTACGAGGGAAAGCGGGCCCTTCGATGTGTCACTTTCAGCGCCCGTGAAAGTGACACCTCCCAGGGCCCACTTAAAGAGCACCAGAAAGGCTCCAAGAAGGCCCCGAGAAGGCCCCAGGGCGGCACCAAGAGGGCTCCCAGAGGGACCCAAGAGAGGCCCCAAGAAGGGCCCAAGAGGGCCCTCCGCGGTGTCACTTTCAACGCCCGTGAAAATGACACCTCCCAGGGCCCACTTAGGGCCTCAGAAAAGCTCTAAGAAGGCCCCGAAAGGGCCATAGAGAGCCGCCCTGGGTTCAACTCCGCGTGGCGGAGTTGGAAGCGATAACTTCAATACCCTGCTGGAGGCCTCTTAGGGGCCCTAAGACGGCACTGAAGAACCCCATCGGGGCTTTTTCAAAGGCAGAGGAGGGCGCAAAAAGGGGCCTCAGTGAGCCCCTGGTCTAACTCCACCTGGCGGAATTGGAAGCGATATCGCCCGGCGCCTTCATGGAGCCGCTCGGAGCTTCCAAGACGGCTCCAGAAGGCCCCAGGAGGGCCCCAAGAGGATCGAACGACGATTCCTGGAAGTGCACCAGTGAGACCCTTGTTGACCTCCGCCTGGCGGAGTTGGAAGCGACAATTTCCAGTGCCCTCTTGGGGCCTCTGGGGGGCCCCTCAGAAAGCTTTGGGGAGCACAGTGAAGGCCTTCGCAGGGCCGCGTGAGAGCCGTACCAGGGCCGCATGTGTGCGCGGATGGGGGCGACGAGTGCTGACGCTGACGAATATGAGAATGATGAGGGCGATCAAGGCTGGCCCGAAACAAATCCTGGCGCCATTGCAGGCCGCCGATTATCGGCCACGCCGCCAGGACGACGCCAAGCAACAAAACGACACCAACCACACCAACCAACAAACCCAACAAATCGACACCGGCCAACAAAAGGACACCAAGCAACAAAACGACACCAAGCAACAAAACGACACCAACCAACGAAACGACACCAACCAACAAAACGGCACGAATCAACAAAACGGCACTGACCAACCAAACGACAAATCACTTCACGACACCAATGAACAACGCGAAATCCACCGACCGCCAACCAAGCATAAAATCAACCGACACAACGAAACCAACCCATAGAGCCAGACCAACCACTGGATTCGTGAGTCGGGGTAGTCATGGAAGTGAGCCGCTGCAGCCCGCGGAAGCCATTAACAGTGACCAGAGCACCGCAATGCAGCAACGTCCCCGGGCGGCGGCGGGAGTCTCGGATCTCCCGCGGGACTGGAGCGTAGCGAGTTCGTCCTGGGTCCGGTTTAGTGAAGTGAAGAATTTCGGGGTGCTTGCATGGCAAAAACCTTCACTTCACTAATCTGGGGCCCCTGGAGCCCCAGGGCGTTTCAGGTCCCCTCGCTGTCTGGGTAGTCCAGGGGGCGCAGTGGCGGCTTACCAGAGGCCCTGTTCCCTAGCCTCACTTGCTTTCACCCGTGGTGCTCGACGGCCGTCTCGGAGCTGTCTTGTGGCGGTCTGGGGCAATCCCGAAGCCTCTTGGAGCCATCCCAAGGCCCCAAGGCGCCACCAATGGGGGCCCCAAGAGAGCTCCCAGAGGGCCCCGAAAGGCCTACAACAGATTGCACGTTCGCGCGAATTCTTTGTACCACTTTGGGGGGTCCCTCTTGGGGCCCTCGGGGAACGTTCTTGGGGCCCTCCGAGGGCCCACTGGGGCCCCGGGAAGGCCCCAAGAACGCTCCCAGAGGGCCCCAAGAATGCTCCAAGAGGGCCCCAAGAGGACCCCCACAAGTGACAAAAACTATTTGCATGAGGGTGCAACTTACTCGGCGCCTCTTGGGGCGCTCTTGGAGCCGTGCTGGGCGCCACTCGTGGACGACATGGGCTGGGCGACGGCATGTGGACCCTGTCGCTTGGGCCATCGGGGGTGCTCCCCAATGGGGCCACGAAGCTTCTGAGCGTATGACGGAATGGGCTGGGCGGCGGCCTGTGGGCCCTGCCTGTGGGGCCGTCGGTGTAGCTCCCCGTGGGGCCACGAAGCGCGTGAAACGTATGCCGAAATATGCTGGGCGGCGGCCTGGGAAACCTGCCGCTGGGACTTGTTTTGGTGGAGCTGCCTAAAGGGGCACGAAATGTTCGAGGGTGTCATCAATGTGGCCTGGGCGACGGCATGTGGACCTTGCCGCCGGGACCTCCGATGAGCTCCTCATGGGGACACGAAGCGTCTGAGGGGCGTGCCGACATGGGCTGGGCGGCGCACTAAGGACCCTGCCGATGGGGCCTTCGGTGGAGCACCTCACAAGCCACGAGACTTGCGGGGGATGTGGCGAAGCAGAGACGCGGGGGAACAAGGGGGGTGTTTTGATGATGTTGATGAGGATGGTGGTGGTATTGATGATGGAGACGACGAGAATGCTGATGATGCTGATGATGATGGCGATGGCGACGATGACGATGGACGATGACGACGGGGACACGCGGAGAGCAGGGGCAGATACGCGAAGAGGGAGGACGAGGGAGGGGGCCGGAAGGAATGACGCGGGGCGGTGTCTCTTCAAAACGAAGAACCAACACTGCAATATGGTAGGAAATTTCTGGACGACCCCCCCCCCGTGGCGCGGTCAATGTCCGCGACAGCATCGCTGGCACTACGAACGAAATGATCGAACTCTTCCTGCGACGTTACCCGCGGGGTGGATCAGCCAGGGATGGGGGTCGAAACCGCCCCAGCGCAAAGCAAATGTACAATCATGAGAAACCCCAGCCCACATCAACCGATCCGCAACAAGCACGCAAGCCTTTGACGACCCCAACGCACGTGACATCGCATAACGCGACGCGCCATCGAAAACGTTCGACGCGCGGCCTCGGAATGACATCGGGCTTCATGGAACGCCGAATGGAAAACATGAAAAACCGCCCTGTGGGCTCCGAGACCCAAAATTACTGATGTGAAGGATTTCGGCTCGTCGACTGCCGGGAGCTGGGGCCGTCAGAACAAGACTTGGGACGCAAGACCCGTCTGAGGGCCGGGGTGGGGGCCTCCAAGGGCCCACGCTGTGAAACAGCTCGCGACGTCGGAAGCTTGGGTCTTCCGATGGTCTTCACGTGTCCGCGGAGGGGGGAGCGGTAAGAGCGAGGCAGACGTGCACAGCTTTCCTCCTCCGACGCCCAGGCCCCCCTCAGACGAAGCCAGGGCGAGGACAGAAACGGGTCAGGGTAATTAACTCGGGAATCTCTGAGATCCAGCGGGCCTGAACCATGTCTCGCGCGCCGCGGCCTTCTCAGAGCGTCCCAGAACGCACTGAGAGCGTTCCAAAGTGCCCTGGAACGGACTTATCCTCGTCCTTGCCTCGTCCGACCCCGCTCAATCCAGGCCCCTCGCCACTCGGAGTAACGCGTCGCGCGGGGGGGGGGGGGGGGGCGTCGCCATTCTCTATCACACAAAAACGGCATAAACATAAACTTTTGGTGTTCCGCACGGATGCCTTGGATCTGCGCTGGGACCCCCCTCCATGGCGCGCGGAGCGCGCCAGGGGCGGCGCCAGAGACGCCGCCAGGGGGCCCCAGCGCGGATCCCAGAAATCCGCGCGGAGCGCCAAAAGTGTATGTTTATGCCGTGTTGTCTTTTCTGTTCTTCGAATGCTCGGTGTCCGGCCGCCGAAACCCCCTCCGTGCCTGTGGTTCAGTCGGGCGTGTTCCCCTACAGGCGGACTTTGGACGAAAAAGGAACAGTACGCAAAATATACTCAACAATTCTCCAAGAGAATCGTCCCCAGGCTACTTTTTAAAACTATTTCTGAATATCCCTCCTGTAGACCCAGAAACCCGACATCGTGATTTTTCAGTATCAGATCCTAGAGGCCATGGCCTCACCCACCTGGTCTGCTCTAGGCCCGGACGCTGTCCGCAACGGTGGTCGCATCGCATCGCATCGCTCTAGATGGTATTTGGCCAAGCGGTACCTGGCGCTGTGTCGCGAGTATCCTCCCCCCGCTGCCAATCCTCGGGGTTGTACCATGGCTGTTCATCTTCGCCGCATGCTAGTAGCAGTCCTTTACAGGGTGGAAATTCAAAAACAGTCCAAAACATTATCTCCCTGGGGGCGATGTTTCGACTGTGTTTGCCCATTTCGGGGCACTGTTGTTGGATCATGTTTTATGTTTCCTCCAAAACCCTCGTGTAGGAGGACATGCCCGACCTAACCCTACAGGCAGACCTTGGGCGAAAAAGCTAAAACAGTCAAACAATACCCGATAATGATCGAAACAGTTGTAGAAGGATCGTCCCAAAACTATGTTCTGACTGTTCTCGAGCATTCCTCCTCTAGAGGGACACGCCCGACTTCACGCTTGCCGGGACAGCTCGGATACCCCCCGCGCTCGGAGGCCCCGACGGGGGCCGAGGGGCCCGAAGCGGGCCGCCGGCGCGCCCGCTCGCGGCGGAGGTCTGCGAGAGGAGAAGCAGGAGGAGGAGGAGGAGGAGGAGAAGGAGGAGGAGGAGGAGGAGGAGGAGGAGGAGGAGGGGGAGGAGGAGGAGGAGGAGGAGGAGGAGGAGGAGGAGGAGGAGGAGGAGGAGGAGGAGAGGGAAGAGGGGGGAGGATCAATGCCCAGCTCTGTCGTCCTCGGGCGCGCTCGGGCCAGGATCTCCAGGGGGGCCCGTCGCCGCGAGCGACGCTCGAGGGCGCCGGCAGGCGGCCTGGAACAGGCCCACAGAAATGTGCCAAGCCCTCGGAACTCCGCCGCGGCGACGGTCACGCGCGGCCCAGGAGGCCCAGAGCAGGCCCAGAGCAGGCCTCACAAACGTGGAGATCCCCTGGCCCTCGAGCCAAGACCCCTCTCCCCAGGTCTCCAGGAGCTCCCAAGTGCCCAGAGGTCTCTCCAGAGGCCTCTGGAGCTCGTGCGAAGGTGCCCCTGGCCAATCCCCGATCCTCGACTCTCGATCTGCGACCATCGATCCTCCAGTCCGCCTCCGGTCCTCCTCCGGTCCTCCTCCTCCTCCTGTCCTCCTTTTCCTCCTCCTCCTCCTCCTCCTCCTCCTCCTCCTCCTCCGCCTCCTCCTCCTCCTCCTCCTCCGCCTCCTCCTCCTCCGCCTCGATCCTCGATCCTCGACCCTCGACCCCTCTCTTATCCAAAAGGCCCTGGGGGGGGGGATTTACCCGACCGGCGCGGGCGCAGCGGGGGCCCGCGCGCCAGGCTTTGCGCGCGCGCGGCGCCGCCCGCCACGCGCAAAGGGGGGGGGCGCCTGGCCAGCAGTCTCGGCGCGGGCTGCAGGGGCGTTCGCGGCGAGGGGAAGCGAGGGAGGAGGAGGAGGAGGAGGAGGAGGAGGAGGAGGAGGAGGAGGAGGAGGAAGAAACGGGGGGGGAGGAGGAGGAGGAGCTGGGGGAGGACCGGAGGAAGGAGGTGAGTGAGGAGGTGAGGGTGAGGGAGGGGGGAGGAGGTAAGGGGGAGGAGGAAGAGGAAGAGGAGGAGAAGTTGGAGGAGGTGGAGGAGGAGGAGGGCTTTCCACGAGTTTCCCCGAGGACGACGTCCCACTCCTCTCCTGCGGGCCTGCTGGCGGTGGGCGCAGGCCTCGTCTCAAGTCTCGTCGCCGCCCTCCAGAGCGGTCCCGTTTCTCTCTCTGGACGTGGCCCCCGAGTCGTAGTCGAGGGAATTACAGTTCATCTCTTCCCTGCGCTAGGCTAGTCGAGTACCCTTCGGGAGCCACGCCACTAGCCAGGCGGTTGCTTCTGCTGCCGTGCAGGATGCATAAGCTTGTCGGTCTGCTGGTCATCTGTTTTGGTGGTTGTTCGTAGTCCTGGCCCTCTGTTAGGTCTTGGCCTTCGTCTCGGTCGGTCTGCACAGCCGGTCTGCTGATGCTTAGTCGGTAGGCCTTCAGCTTGTCCGTTGCTGCTCAGTCGGTCTGGTGGGTCGCAGGTGATATCATGACAGTACGAGAACGACCTATTAGCAACGAAATGTCCCGCGCCAGGCACGCTCTCATGACAGCGAGCAGAGCTTTGCCGTGCTGTTGTTGTCTCCGCAACTGGAGCTGCAGGGCGTGGGGCGTAGGGGTGGTCCGCTCCGTCAAGCGCGCTTCCTCCTGGCCCTAACCACGTAGTCGGCTCTTGACTTGGGTGGCGGAGGTTGGCACTGTTGCGGAACCTTGTCGCTAATACACTGCTAGGCGATGCTGCCGCATGTGTAGCAGAAGTAGCCCTGCTCGCGTCGATGCCGCTGCATTTGGTGGGGGAAGTGCGCGCGTCGGCCCTTCAGTTGGGCAGTTGATGATCTGCGCTGGGCGTCCCGCTGTAACTTGCTTGTCGTCACCATCCCGCCATTGTGCTTCCCCGTCTGATAGCCGTCTGTGAGCATGCTGCACATTCCCACCTCGTGGTGGTTTGTGGTAGTTGGTGGCGGCTGGTTGCTGCAAGCTGGTCTATGGTCTGGGTCGGCGGTCGCTGCTGTGCTGCTTCCCGTCGCATCTTGGCGCGCTACTCCCAAGTCAGTGGCGGTTTCCATTCCATGCTGTCCACCGTGGCTTGTGTAATGCGCCGTCGTGCCAATTTGCCCACTTCCCTCGCTCATTCGTAGCATCCAAGCTACGCTGCTGGTAGTGCGTGCTCGCCAGCGGCTCGATCAGCTCGTAGGTCTGCTTCTCTGCTCCCGATCCATGCCAATTCAGGTACTTCAAATTGTCTTGCGTTCTCCGATTACAAGCGGCTGTGCGTACGTCGTATCGTCACGATGCTGGCGCTGATGGCCTCGTTCATCAGTTTCCCTATGTCCCCAATTGCCTCCTTTGATTTCTTGGCGTTGTATCGAGTTCTCTTCCAGCCGCGGCGTAGCGCAGCAGAGTGCGTCCAAATACCAGCGGCCCTCGAGAATTCTGGAGTGCGCTCAGAAGTGCCCACATGTCCTCTCGGTTGGTCTGCCTCGGCCCAGGTAGTGGCCCCCGTGCTGCTGCTCGTACTCCTGCCCCTTGCATGCGTACCCATCCCCATCCGCGCCTTCGGTCCCGTTGTCGCTGGACATCGCTCCCCCGCTGCCGCCCCCACAGACGTGCAATGGTGCTGCAATCGTGGTGAGTAGTCCGTGCCGTGCGTCGCCTTCTTTGGCGTCGGAAGGCTCGGTTGTGCAAGGCGGTGGGCACGTCGCGGGCTTGGGCGTGATCCCCCAGAGCCAGAAGGCTGCAATGGTTGCCAAGCCTTCCTTCGCCCGCTCCTTGAGGTGGTCCGCGCGCTGGTAGATGATGCGCTCCTTCCTGGCGGGGCAGTCTCCCCAGATGCGGCGGTCGTCGTCCTCTGGCGCCCCGCAAGCGCATGGGTTCGTCGCGCCGCATGCGCGCGCAATTCGTTGTTGCGCCCATGTGCCCGCACACGCTGCTGCAAGTAGAGCTCCGCGTCTTTGACGCTTGCCGCGCTTCTGGAGGTGGTCGAGGTGGCTGGCGAGATCCTGCGCTTCAATCAGCTCCGTGCTCGAGGCCGTTGCCGTTGTGGTGCTGGCTGGCTGTTTTTTCTTTTCATTCGCGTAGCTCCACTTGTTGCGTGACGCGCCCAGTACGTCGGTCGGGTCTCCGTTGGCGTCGTCGCCAGATCGCTGCCATGCGTCGCCCAGTGGGTCGACCCAGTAATCCGCGCGTTGCGGGTCCCAACCTAGTTCCCATAGCAGAAATATGATGTCGCCGATGCTGCCTCTGCGCGCCTCCCAACGTCGTTGCGGGTCGTGATTGGTGGGCTTTTTCTTCATCAGTGGCCACGTCCACTTGATGCGTTGTCGTGCGTCTTCGCCCGTTGACACTAGGCCGAACCAAGATGTGACTTGTGCTCGTATGGTGTCCGTTTCTGGGTCTCGGACTGCAGATGCCACGAGCGTCGTCAAGCACCATCCTGGCCCAGCTCGTCGGCGTGCTTTGGCGTTGCGTCGTCGTGTTTGTAGTCGCTCGCGTGGCAGGACTCCGTAGACCTTGGCGCCGTAGAGGATGGATGCCATCGCGCCTTGGGCTAGAAGTCCTCGCGCCCGTCTGAGTTTGGCTCGCTTGAACCGCTTCCTTACCAGTGTCATCCGTGCTCATGCTTTCATCTTCGTGTCGTGGTGCGTGCGTCGCTGGGTGCATGTCCTGCTGCCCCCGTCAAGTCTCAGGTCGGATCCTTCGGTGCTGCCGTCGATGCTCATGCCCTGTTGTGCTAGCTGTCGCACAACTCTGGTCGTTTACACGCGCTGGTGACGATGGCGGATTTGGCCGCGACCTCGAACCCCTGCTGCCGTAGTTCGCTGAGCAGTTCTGCAGTCGATTCCACCGCGTCCCTGAGCATGGCCTGTTTCGCCCCGTAGAGCATGGCCTGTTTCGCCCCGTACACCTGGACCCAACGTCTTCGAACAACGTTCCAGGCTGCGTCTTGGTGATTTTGCCGCTGTGCTGGCGCATGGCGAAGTAGACGAGGACCCGCGCAAGGTTGTCGGAGCGTCTCGCGCCCGCCAATAGCGAGCGGCCCGCGTATATCGGATCGCTGTAGCAGCCCTCCAGTCGGAGGAACCGCGGCGCGAGGTGCATCTGCATCGATAGTGCTAGGATCCGCGCAGGGAGCGCTTGATCTCCAGCAGCGCGGCGGCTGCGCGCATGCCGCGCGCGTCCGCACCTCTGTCCCCAAGTGCTCTGATCATGGCCTCTCGTGGGCAGCCGTTGCCTGGGATGGCCGAGCCCCATGGTCCCTCTACATACTTGCTTGGCCCACGTGCCCCTGTGTCTCAGCGCATGAGCTCCCGCGTTCTGCAACTGCAATGTAGTAGTGCCTGTGCACGGCCTCCGCCGTCGGCGACTGCTGGGTCACCCTTGTTGGTGGGTTACCCTGGCTAAATCGAGGCTATGGACTGCATGGCCTGCCATGGCCACGCCACCGCTCTCTGGTGTTCAAGAGTTGTGTGATTACCTCTCGTCCTGCTGCTGGTAGTCTCCGCGCGTCGCTGGTGTTGAATCGGTCCGTTCCTCTACCTGTGCCGGGCTGTTCCACAATGGCGTCGTCGAACTGCTCTCTGCCCCATGTTGTCGGCGGGGTCTTCAACTCGTTCGCTCGCAACCCCGGCAGTTGTAGGTGTGTCGCGTGCTGGTCGTGAACGTCGCTCCCAATCGTCGTAAGAGTCTGGTCCTTGAGGTCGAGTCTCTCGAAGGTGGACCCTGCCGTCGGTCATCTCGTCCTCGCGGCAGTTGCTGGGTTTCGTCATTCTGTGCATGGCGCCGTTGTCGCAGATGTTGGTCAGCCAGTGCGTGTAGTCACGTCCGCTGCTTCGTTGGTCATGGCGCATGGAATCTAGTGCTTCCCGCGGTGCTTTGTCGGCCACCCCTTCGACGGCGTCGGTGGGCAAGTCCTGCGCGTCGTGAAGCCTGTCCCCCCCATAATGCCCGATGCGTTCGCGCAGTGCTTGCCGCCGCCTATCCTGCCGCGGGTTCTCCGTCTCGTGCGAAACGTCGCCAGCAGGCTTCTAGTGCCTGTATCTCTTGTTGTCCTACTCGCCATTGTCGAAGCCAGCGCAAGACTGCAAGGCCTGACTCTGCTCTGGCCCGCCAATTCGCGGCGCGTTGCCCTTTTTTCTCCCGCTGCTTGGTGAGTCGGTTTTCGCATGGAGCTCCTCTGCCCATGTACTTGTGCTGGTCGCTCTTGTGGATGCTGTGGGCTTCGCAGTAGAAGTCCAAGTTCTGAATCGATGCATGGCGTTCGCCACTTGCCCCCTGCGTTGCACTCTATTTTGCTGCGTAGGCGGCGCACGCCGTGATGTATGCTGGCGGGGAGGCGCTGGCTAGCTGCTGGCGTTGCTAAACCTCGCCCCAGAGCCCGCGGTGTCTCCTCGCGTCGACGTCTGGCGCCTGTGGAGTCGCTGGCGTCGGCCGGTTTGCCTGTTCGACGCAGTGCTCCAGCTCGCTGTCTTGTCCGTCGTCGGGGCCCGCTGCTGGTTGCGGAGGGCTGTGCGAGAAAGACCTATGAGCAACCAAACGTACCGCGCCAGGCTCGCTCATGACAGCTAGCGCGAGGTGGTTCGTCTGGCGGTTCGCCCTCCCATCTCGCCTCCTGCGGGTCGCCTTCCAAGGGGTCGACGTGGTCCATGATTGTTCGCACTCGCGCTGGAGTCGCAGCCGGCGTCGACGGCGATGGGTGGCGCATCCAGCCTGTGGGGGCTAGAGCAGACATGAAATCGTGCTCGTCGGTCGTGCTGTCGCGCTGCGTCGGTTGTTGGTCTTCCGTAGTTCGTCGTGCACGTCGCGCTGCAAGTTGGCGCCATCACTTGCCTGTCAGGTCCGGGGCCTTCTGCGGAAGGCGCGGGTGCTGGACGGGTTGCGGCATCTGGAGTTGCCGTTGCACGTTCATCTGCAGCTCGCCCTTCAGCGCAAGTACCTGTCCGATATGTGGCCTCCATGGTATATCACTTACTGGCGCCAGCGAGCGGATGTGTTGTCTCGCCGCTAGGCTTACCACGAAGTAATCAATTGGCGAGGGCGTCGCGTCCTTCTCGAAGCACGTGGCCGCGTTCTCGCCGAGGGCGAGAATGTGACCGGTCCCAAGGGCCTCAGGCCATCCTGAGGCTGCGAAGGCGGCTGGGGTGGTGTTGAAGTCACCCGCTAAAATCCAAGGTAGGTTCAGTTATAGTAAATACTGGCCTAGCTTCTTGAGGCGATTCGCGTTGGGTCCAGTCCTGAGGGGCTTGTGGCACTCGAGGTAGACGCTGACCACCAGGATCGAGTAGCCCTTCATGTGCCATAGCATTGGTACCCAGTCTGTGAAGTTCAGGAGTTCAGCCGATGCCACTGATGTCGTATCCGCCGCCCAGTAGGATACACTCCCCCTCGTTGCCATCTCCCTGAAGAGCTTGGCGTGATAGTGGTTCCTCACCATTGCAGTCACCCCGCCGTGAGAGCCCCGCTCTGACGCTGCTTGTTGTCTTACTGAAGTAAAGCATGCGTTGATGCCCATTCCTGCGAAAGCTGGCTCGACAGGCTGTGATTCGTGAAACTTGAGGTAGGTCTCCAGGAGTAGGTAGCCGTCCTGCAGTGCTCGACCCCCCTGTCTTGACTGTGAACCGTCCCTTAGCCACCTCGTCACTTGTGGTCCCCGCGTCGTGATACTACCAACGAAAACTGTTCGGTGCCCAGGGGTGGCCGAGAGGTTGGTTGGTGCTCGTGCCATCCCGCAGCGCGTTCTACAGAGGGGCTGATCCCTTGGAGGCCCCTTTGCCCTCCTCACGGATATTGCGGAGCACCTCCTCGCGCTGCTCTGCTGTGCTGGTGCCTACTGTCTCGGCTAGTGGTGGTTGCGTCGGCCATGGAGCCTGGCCAGCTGCAGGATCCACGGGCGCGGGGGCCTCGTATTTGCTAGCAGTTGCCGTCGTTGCTTCTCCTGGTGTTGCTGTTAGTGGTTGTGTTTTTGCTGGCTGGTCCTCCGTGGTCTTGCGTTTCGTGTCCTCCCGGAGTCGTGAAGCCTGGGCAGCTGCCTTGGCCTTCGCCTGGTCGATGCGCGCATTGATCTGGCCTCCGTAGGCTTGCGCCCCCACCTTCAGGTCTTTGATCGCGGCGCGCTTGGCCGCGAGGACCTGCGTCTTCAGCTCCTCGTCCTCGTCGCCCTGTAGCTTGTACTCCGCTTCCAGGTCGATGACCCTGCTCTTGTGCGCTTCCTGTTCGCTCGCGCTCAGCAGCTGCTTCATGAAGCTCTTGGGTTTGCCCTCTGTCATGACCGCGTTGAGGTTGGCTTTTGCTTCCTCCAGTGCTTTGCCTTTCTCGATCATGTCTTCGCAAGCTGTGGCCAGTAGTCCCTGTAGTCAACTGTGCTCGTCGCAAGCCTTGTGGAACTCGTTGCACGCATGCTTCTGGGCCCGCCCTCCTGCAGTGCATCGTAGTTCCGCTGGTTGCTGTGGTGCTTGTGGTTGGAGTGTCTGCGCGATTGAAACCAGCTGGGATCCCAGTGCTCTCGCAGCTGCGTTGTTCCCGAGTCCTAGTTGCTGTAGCTGCTGCCCAAGGCCAAGAGGGGCAGCAGTAGGAAGAGAACAACGAGGAGGAGCCAAGGAGGATGCCACGAGGAGGAGGAGCAGCAGGCTGCCAGGAGGAGGAGAAGCAACAGCTGGAGGCAGGGAAGAGGTAAGGATGAGGAGGAGGAGGTGGAGGAGGACGCAAGAAGGAAGGGGGAGGCCAGGAGGCCAGGAGGAGGAGGAGGTGAAGGAGGAGGAGGAGGAGAAGCAGAGGCCGCCAGAAGAAGGATAAGCAACAGCTGGAGGCAGTGAGGAGGCAAGAAGGAGGAGGAAGAGGAGGCAAGAAGGAAGGGGAATGCCAGGGGGCCATAAAGACGAGAAGGCCACTCGGCCGCAGAGAATGTTCCTCAAACATAGACGCTGAACCTGTACGGTAGTTTGTTTCAAAGCGTTTTCCGCCTCACATTTTGGTCCAAACCAAAAGCATCTAAACCACTGCTGGGTTCGAATACGGAACAATGTGGGACGAAAAGAGAAGGCACAATACTCGGCACAGTAAGTGCGCACAACACAACAGGATGAGGATGAGGAGGCGCGGCCGCAGCCGTCACGACAAGGCGCCCTCACCCAAGCACCGTCAGAAGACGAAGACGATGATGGTCCACACCATGAGGCCCCATCCAGGACGAGGAGTGGGAGGAGGAGACTTTTACCGAGTTAGAGGAGACGTTGTTGGATGACAGCCGACGTCCCGGTGAATATACATATGTGTATACCATGCAATATTTTGGAAGTCCCGACCCCTTCCCAAGGATGCGCCGCGAAACATCTGGCCAGAACGTGCCGAAGGAAAGGTCCAGGAAGCGACTTTCATGAGGGGTGCCGAAACCTCCAGTCGTAACCAACAAATACATGCCAATAGTAAACGCCTGTTTGCCCGCTCGAACAGCTGATTGCTGGCCTCCGGGCAAGCCAGAATCGCGAAGCACAAGCTTGGCAAGAAGGCCCCGGGGTAGGGGTCGGGAGCTTGGGGGGCCCACGGCTTGAACAAATAGTGACGTCGCAGGCGTGGGCGATCGGCTTCTAGGAGGGGACCAGCAGTGGCAGCAGTGGCACCGTGCGCCTGACCTCTGCTGCACCCGCCCACGGCATACGGTTGCTCGCACTGCGCTCGGCCGGCGATGGTCTTCAGCTCTCGAACGCAACGAGCTCAGCTTCATGGCTGGGCAGCGTCCACAAAAAACAGCAATGGCAGCGGCAGCTGCACTGGCAGCAGCGTCAGCGGCAACGGCGGGGGCGGCGGCCGCGGCGGCGGCATCGCTGCCGCGGCATCGCTGCCGCGGCATCGCTGCCGCGGCAGCGGCAGCCGAGCGGCAGGAGAGAAGGCAAGAAGGAGCTTGGGGAGAGGAAGAAAGAAGGGCACGCGCGCCGGGCTCGTTTCCCCCCCCCCCCCCCAATGGAGGGAAACAGATTCTATACACCCGAGGTTTTTGTTTGCCCCACGATGGAAGTAGCAAACAAGAAACTGCAGAAGACCTGTGTCTGCGGGATCCTGGTGTATGCTCGCTTCGTGGCTTCCCGGGAAAACGGAGGGAAAGTATACTCCACACCACCCCGACGTCGTCCCCGACCCTCAATAAAAAAGTCCCTCGATGGAAGAACAGCCCGCAACTGGTAGTGTATTTGCTCCATGTTCCGACCACGAACTCGATGCTCGACGTCCGACGTCGCGTGCCTTCTTCGTGCGGTGGGCCCCTGGACCTTTCCCTGGCGGCCGGGGGCCAAAGACTGGTCTCCGGATGCCGCGGACGAGAAACCAGCCGTCTCTCACCAGTTCAAAACAAACGCCCAATCCGGAAAACGCGACGGGCAACACAAAACACATGCTCCTCGAGACTTCGGGGAGGGAGATTTCGGTGTAGGACTTTAATAAAGGGACAGCGACGAACGCAAACTATACGCCGAAATCTTTGTTTGGTGTTCGACTCCTCGGTGGCTCCGCGACTTTGGGATTGGGAGCGTGTTTGTTCTTGGCCAGTCTCGGCTTCCGTCGTGTCGCCAAAGTCTGAGGTGCACCCGCCACCGTTCGGCGACTCCGCAAGGTGTGGTCTGCAAAGGGTGTGGCTTGCAACGGGCACCCTGCGGGGCGGGTGGGGGCCTCGATGGCGTTCTCCGCCGCGCTCCGCGGAGGCCCGACGAGGACAGCGTCGCGCCCCCCAGGCCCCAACGGCGCCGATCGCAAACCACACCCCAGCGCTATTATTAAGGCGAGAACAAGGTGAGGATTACGTAATGCGAGTGATGATGAATCGCGAATCTCTGAGATCTGGCGACTCTGGAGGATGTCTCGGGCGCCGCGGCCTCCTCAGAGAGTTCTGGTACGCTCTGAGAGTGTTCCGGAACGCTCTGGAACGGATTTGTCCTCGTCATAGCCCCGTCCGAACCGAACGCCTCAGGAAAAACACGCAGACGATCTCCTCCTCCCCTGCACGGTCGCAAGGGTCACGGCGCAACTGGTCGCCTCCTGTTGTCCGGCCTCGACCATCTGCTTCCCCAACCTGGTGAAGTTCGCCTCCCGCCGCAGCGAGGAAGGAGAAGCAGCAGCGGGAGTAGGAACTCCTCCTCCCCCTCCCTCTCTGCTTCTTCCTCATGATCCTTGTCTGAGCTGTGATATTCATGGAATGCTCCCCCCCCTGGCTGCTGTTCGCTTGCTGGGCACCTTCGTGGAGAGCCGAGCCGAACCGACACTGCTCCTCGTCCTCCTGCTCCTACTCATTTCCTCCTGTGTACCCCATCTGCTCCCCCTCATCCCTGAACTTCGTTCCCAACACCTTCCCCCATCCCCCTCCTCCGTCCTCATCTCTATCTCCTCCCTCGCCGCTCATCCCTCGTTCTGCTCGGTGCCCTTCTCCCCCTCCTCCTCTGCATCCTCATCCGTCTTCCCACCTCCTCAATCCTCCCCCCCTCCTCCACCTCCTCCCCTCCTCCTCCCCCTCCTCATCCGCAGCCTCATCCTCTGCATCCTCCTTGTTCCGCCTCCTCCCTTCCCCTTCTCATCCACATCCTCCTATTCCCCCTTCCCTCATCCTCCCAATTATCCTCCTCCTCATCCTCCTCCGTCTCCTCCTTCTCCTCCTTCTCCTCCTCATTATCCTCCTCCTCCTCCTCCTCCTCCTCCTCCTCCTCCTCTTCCTCCTCCTCCTCTCCCTCCCCCTCATCATCATACCAGACCTTGCAGACGATTCGTCAGCCCCGTTGTCATGGATAGGGAGGAATCAAGATCTAGGCAACGCAACATGGGGTACAACTCGAAGGGGGTGGTGCTTTGGGATCTGAGTCGTTACGCTGACGCGCTCCAATCATACAACTTCAAAGAAGTTCGCACCCATATTTGGGATTGCCAGGGCCGTGAAGCCTCAAGCGAGACCGAGGTGCTAAGGCCTGCCAATTCGTTGCGAGGGGGTCTCCGATCCCGTCTTGGGAATCGGAAGACACTCTTCGGAACCCACGCCCCCTGCTCGCAGGCTATTTAGGCGATCGAGAGGACGTTGATCGGTATTACCGCATCGGGCCAGCGCAGCGGTGCAATGCAACCCGCCAGCTGCAATGCATTGTTATACGGATTGCGGTCTGCAGTAGATTTGCGGCGTGCACTATGATTCGGGGCGCACATGTCAGAGTGAGGGGGCCGCACCCCGCCTCCGAGGCCACCGACGACGCAAAATACCCACAAAATATATCGAAATTGCCAGCACATGCTAAACAACATCCCTAGCCTATTTTTTACTATTTTTGAATACTCCTCCTGTAGAGGGACACGCCCGACTTAACGCTGGTGCTCCCGGGCGCGCCCAGCGGGCCAGGCGGAGCATGTCACGGCCCCTGCGCTATCTCGCGCAGGGCACCGGCAGCGATCAGAGCAAGGCGCCGACAGGTGCCCTGCGGTGCTTGTTAAGGAAGGTACAGCTACCCAGACACCCAATGACTTGCTGGAACACAGACCCTGGTTTTGCACACGCCTCTGCACCTGGCTCCCGTGTCGAGCTCCAGGAGCGTCAACATACCACGGAGGATGCACAGCTGGCTCTTGGGAAAGGGTTGGGATTTCCAGGGGCCACACGGCGGATTCCGGAACTCCTGAACCCTAAAGCGTCTCTCTCGGGGGCACACGTACTGCTTCCGCCACCTTCCACCGCCCTTCCGCCGGCTTCCGCCGGCGGAGGCGGTCTCCTTCTGCCTGCGCCGCCCTTCCGCCGCCTTCCGCGGCGGAAGAGATGACGACACCTCCGGCCCTCGCAGGCAATGCCCGTGCAGGAGCGCCACACGTAGCGATCAGCAGTGGACATCGGATGTGACCTGTCGGCTATACGCAAGAGTGACCCTGGGTAAGAGTGACCTTTGGTGCGCGGCTTTTTGGGGCCACGGGGAGACCAAACCTGGGCGCGCAAGCCGCTGCTCCTGCTCGTTTTCAGCCGCCTGGGGGCCCATCTGTGCCCGCACCAAAGGTCACTCCGGCGAAAGGTCACTCTTACGTCTAGTCGAACCTGGGGGCGTGAGCTGCCCACCTCTCCGACCCCGGCCTGGCCCCGCCCGGGCCCAGCATCGGGCTGGCCAAGATCGGCGACGAGGCGCACCGTGAGCGCGGCCTGCTGCTCGGCGCCGCTGCCACGTCTTCGAGGGGGAGATGGGCAGATAGATCCCCTCGCGAGCGCAGCGCCTGAAGAGATGTCCACGAGCCGACGCCCATGCCGAGCAAGAGGACGCTTCGAAACAGCGACCCGGAATGTGCGGAGCAGAAGAGCAACGATCGGTAAAGGGCACGGGCGCCTACTTGGGCGCTCGAACTCGCTCGGTTCTCAAGTGGTCGCGTAGAGATACCCGGTGGTCAGAAGAAGTAGGCAGAACCATGAAGTAGGAAGGCGTTGAAGTAGATTGCGCTTCCGCCCGCCCCCTGAAGAGGAGGGAAGAGGGAAAACCACTCGATTCTTGAAGCAGGAAGGCGTCTAACATGTCTTGCAATCAGAGGACCCAGACAGACCGGCGTGTATACCTACACGGTGTTACCAGCGGCCACCGTTACCATTAGGTCGGGCGTGTCCTCCTAGAGGGGAATTTTGTACGAAACATGACAAATAGTTCAAACATGTTCAAAACAGGTCAAACATGAACAAAAGATCGTCCCAATACTATTTTTTGACTGTTTGGGAATTTTCCCTCTGTAGAGGGAAAGGCCCGACTTAGCGTTACCACGATTGGACACTCGGCTTTGGAGAGCCCGGTGCCACCCACCGCTGCTCAGATGGCCTGCGGTGTGGAGCTACGGGGTGGCCCTGGGCGGTCCGCCGATCGGGGAGCTACCCACCGACATGCTGTCTTGATGTGCTTGGACGGGGGCCCCATGAAGTCTGGGCCCTTTCCTGGGACGCGCAAAGACACACTGGTACTATATGCCCTCCTTGGAGTCGCGCGTCTGGACCGATCATATAAAACAGAAATGTTGTAGTATATCGCTTCCCGAGCGGTACGGCCAGAAAGCGCCCGCCGCGAAGCATATGCTACGAGATTTCTCGGCGCGCGCGTCGCCCTTTTCGGGGGCGCCGCACGCAGAAGATTAGCATGTTTGGGTGGCGCCGACATTCAGGGGCCCCAGGAAGTCCCGACCCTTTCCCCAATGGACTAGCACCGACGGAAAGCCGCGTTACCGGCCACTCACTCCATGGACCCTTGGACTCTGTAGGCCCTCCTTCACTCCCCCACTCCCATAGATCATCTACCCCCAAACCTCTTCTGGCCCGCCCTCTGACCAAGATCTCGAGGCGGGCCAAGCCGTGGCAACGAGCGCAGCCCAGCAGGCCACAGGGGAATCTGGAATAAGACATACTGGCATCAACTTCTTTTCCCCCGTCCTCACGTCCTCTTCTCAACGTTTTCTCGCTGCCTCCTTTCCTCCAACACTTGTTTAAGCCAGGAGAGAAACAGCCGCGGCTCCCTCGACCAGAGCGCGATCTGACCAGGATTCGAGGCGGCGGCGAGGGCCCCCAGGAAGGCCCCCCCAAGACACCAAAACGGTGTGTAAATCAGACGTCCCCTCTTCCGTCCCCCCCCCTCCTCCTCCTTCTCCTCATGCTCCTCCTCCTCCACCTCCTCCTCCTCCTCCTCCTCTTCCTCCTCCTCCTCCTCCTTCTCCTCCCTCTCTTCCTCCTCTTCCTCCTCCTCCTCCTCCTCCTCCTCCTCCTCGTCCTCCTCCTCCGTCCTCCTCCCCCTCTCTTCCCTGCTCCGCCTCTTCCTCTCCATCCCCCTTCTCCTCCTCATCCGTCGGGGGGGGGGACTCTTTAGGTGGGAGCAGGCGCCCCAAGCCAGCACGCCGGCGGCGGCAGGGTTCTCGACGGGGGCACCCTGCAGCGGCCGCCGGGCGATAAGCCACCAAAGAATCACGATCGCGCACTCTTCCAGTCAACCCGCATACTACTGAGCTACTACTGAGTTGCTACTGAGGGTGCGCGAGAAGGATGCCATGTCCGCACTTTGTGAGCAGGGCGCGGCCGGCGAAAGCCGCCAAGGATGGGCCGAAGGGGAAGGATACAAGGAGAATCTTGGGCAGTCGCTCAGCCTTGCTACGCGGGTTGACTGCATTGCGGCACCAGAGGGGCCGCGAAACAGATTCTGGCAACCCACACTCCTCCTCCTCCTCCTCCTCCTCC